CCGGCAGGAGTCAATCTCCAAGAAGTAAGCACACATCTCTTTTTTGTAGACGAGAGAGTGAGCCTTCTAAACAGTATCTACTGTGATCTTATTGCAAAGGGAACTGGAAGTGAATACTTTGGCCAAGTTATACAATTTCTTCTGGGATAGCTTGTTGTGGGGCTTTCCGAAGGATCGTTCTGAGAGTGGTCTCTTTTCTTTAAGGTTGCATATATTGTCGGAGAAGGGAGGGATCCAGGCCAGGTCTAAAAGTGCCGAGTTGGGTTTGGGACAAGATCAGGAAATAGTGAAATCTTATATAGTGGGTGCCAACTTGATTGCTGCTGGGATTGCTTGATAGGAAACTTTGATTGATACGAGCAGATGTGAATGAATTGAAATAGTCAATAGTGGTGATATGATCCCGGTATCTACACTCGGATCTACTTCTGCTACCGAGACTGCTGCTACTGTAAAAGCATCAGGAACGTGTCAATTCACTGAATAAAGTGCTCTTTCCATTGATTTATGGATGAAATCACGAAAAAGAGAAGGAACCACCGATTCTGCATCAAAAACACGGGTTCTGGAGCCAGTTTCTCAAATCGTAAGTAGATCCAATCCAGGGCAGTTGATAAGTGAGGTTCTTCGGTCGAATGCAAATAAGCCAGAGCGTATCTCTTGTTTCGAGGAAGAAACAAACATCTTGGTCTCAATAGATCTTGATTCTATGCATGCGTCAGACACATCACGAGCCGGAACAAACGAGTGCTTTCAACTCACGAGCCGGAACAAACGAGTGCTTTCAACAATAAGCAATACCCGAGCTTCCTTCTACCAACCAGGATTCCGATACCAATTCCAATCTGGCACAGCACAAGGAAGTAGCGCACCAGAAGAACCAATACGAGAACCCTTCCTTCCAGCCAGAATCCATCTTTCTTGTCCTTTGCATTCGAGGAATGGGATCTGCCTTGTGGAAACAAAAGCTATTTGTTCGAGTCAAGCAAGCGGACAGTCAGCTAAGAATACTGGAAGAGAACTCTCTAGCCCTGCACTTAAACTAGACTAGAAATCCGAAAAAACACTAGTTTTGGCCCATAGCGAAATAGAGTTTTTCTTCTCCGCGGACTCCCCATGCTTGGCGCCATAGGCTTTAGGACTTTTGGCACTAGGGAATCATACTTTGATCAGATCCGTGGACAGGCTCCCGAGGTCAAATTGGATTATGGACTTTTCCAGCTAAGTGAAAACGCACTTCACTACTAGCAAAGAAGTCAGCTCAGGGCAGGGCCGGTGGTAATCTCAGATAGGAACTTGTCGGGATCCTTCCATACCTGCCATCCACCACTACTACTGATCGTTTCCCAGAACGAGCCATACGTTTTCCCAGAATGAGAATACGGCTGAGGACGAATAGTGGCGCCTAGCTTTAGTTTCCACACGACACGATGGATCTATCACTCTCTTTAGCTAGGCCATTCTCTAGAGGAGAGTTCCGAGAATGAATTCCAATCTGGTACCAATCTAGAAATCGTATTGTAGAGTTCTTCTCACTCCTAGCACAGCTACAAGCATTCCTCGAATGCAGAGACAAGACAGAGGATATCTGGTCCCGCGGAACATCTGCTACCAACTACGGATTACCTTGTTTCCATGAAATCCATGTTTCTGGCACCTTGGCCCCCTCTACCTACAAAATTCTGATTCCTATGGTTGAAGAAAGTACAACGTTGTCAATTCAACCTGAAAAAAGGGGAATAAGTTGACAAAGTCAGCTTGAATATTACGGTATGGATCAAAGGAAGCTATACTCGCCTTGATTTCTACCAAACTTATTAGATAGTAAAGTAGACAAGTCTGAAATGGAATGTCTGATCGGTATATGTAGGGCTTTCAAAAGAGAATCTATTTCAGCATAGTTGATTTTCAGAAGCCAACTAGAACTTCGCAGCTCGTATAGTTGATTGTTCCCACCAGTTTCGTTCTCATCTGGTCAGTTTCACGAATGCAAGGATTTACTATGACTCTCAGGTGTAAACCTTGGTCGTATACAGCGGTGAACTAGCTAAATATAGCTAGAGGAGTAATATAGCTAAATATAGCTATAGGGCATTCCACAGAAGTGAAATTCTCTCGGCAAAGCAGAATAAGAAGCAGCAGAAAGCAAAATAGTATAAGGGTCGTTCGGAGTTCCAGGCACAAAACAATTCTACAGAACTGGGTATACCAAATAGTTGATCAACAAGGCAAATGTCCACTAAACCAGCTAAACGGCTCACGAATTGTTTGGAATGCGACGGAAAATGTGATCTCCCAGCAATATCTCGAGTCCAAAACCTCACCCATCTACATATATCATCATCTGCGGCAAGAACATAGCAACACCAAAATCACCCTCCTCACGACAGCCAACCATCGACGGTGTCAGACTATGATTCAGTTGTTGTACTACTCCTCTTTGTTCTGTTTCATGTTTTTGGCGGTTTCGTTCTTGTGTCTGAGTCCGAAGAAGACGATGGATGTTGATCCAGTAGCAAAATTGTGCTTCCTATTGCAAGATTTATGTATCGTGCCGTGCGTAGATACGAACGACATGGAAAAAATCCAGGTTTATGTACGACATGCTCTTTCCTTCCTTCATTCGGTGACGCACAGAGGTGGCAGAGTCTTGTTCCTGGAGTCGCTCACAACTTTTGGAAGCACCGAGATCCTGAATAAGATGCTGCACGAATTGGCTGAGGTGTTGGGAGCCCCCAATAGAGAAGGACGATGCGGAAAGGGATGATGGGAAAGTGACAAGACTGGACTTCGACTCATTTAAAAAGAGTTGTAGCCATACGGAATTCCAATTGGAATGGACCCATCTCATGATCCAAGTTACCCTGGATTTCTTTCTATTCCTATTTCGCTGGGCAATTCTAGTTTTTGTTATGATGATCTCATGGATAGTAGTATTGAGTTCTATAAATAGATTGATAGTAGGTTTTAAGATAGCTTAGCCCTTGTTAGTATTGGAGGGCGCCAACCCTATGGGGAATGTAGCTATGTTGTACTTCTTCCTACTAGCTACGGTGCAGCACCTGTTCCTAGCTACGATGCTGCTCCTATCCGCCCCTTGATTTACACCGCTTTGGTCTTTTATTGGTCATTGATTTATAGACGGGAGGATAAGTACCCTGGCTCGACCCCAGATATCGATTTAGCATTCCATTATCGGATCTCCAAAACGGGAAACAAGAAAAGTAATCGAAATCGTGTGCCAGCGGGACATACAAAATTCACACTTTTTGACTCTCAATCCATAGGTGGAGATACCAGGGGTGGGTTTTCATGGCCTATAGTCTCCCCTGCCGATGAAGCACGAACTACTTGTTGAAATCGCGGATCCAAATCTTGCATTTCTCCTTTACTCGTCAAAGGCCTCGTATTGTTATTCCCATGATTCATGTGGGCTATCTGCTCTTTATTGTAGGGTCCTACTCCCACCTATCCTTAAAAAATGATGTGAGTGGCTCATACTAATCAAATGTACAAGTAACTGACCCTTATCAAGCTTTCCACACATAGTGTTTTGATCTAGGATTGCAATTCTTCCATGTTTCCGCAGTAGCATATTGTTCCATGGAGCTAGGGTCCAAAATAGGAATCAACAAGTGTTTCCACGACTCTACCGCCCGGCCAATCCTGTTCCACTGAATCCCCTCCCTTTTTCATGGCCACATATCTTTATGGCTAAGGAGTGGGAAATCTTTCTCCTGTTACACAAATCAAATGTTTCATTTCATCCGGGAAAAGCCACCTCTTTCTCCACAAACAATGTCTTTGTCATTTGATCATGTTTTTATCTGTTAGATAGGAACAACTTTGCTAAATACTGAGAACTCTCGGATAGAGTATTAGAATGAAAAGACCATTAATTATATAAGGAAGAACCCAAGGTTCTAGCCCATTCTCATTCCTAAATCAATAATTCGTAGTGCTTTTGCCTTTCTTGCGTACTCCTTGTGAACCAGTTGCTAGCCATATGTTTAGGAGGCTATTTTCTCCTATTAAGTAAGATTCTTAAGCTTAATAAGCCCAAAGATCGAAAAGTACGGACCATTTTGAAATAAAACCGGACCATTTGTAAATCAAAATAGAAAAAGAAATCTAGCTACTCTCTTCTCTGTCTCCTTCAGAAAAAGAAAGCTAAGGCAATTGGTGTTGAATAAACAAAACCACACCGAATCAGTCAGGAGTTTTCAGAGATTATGCCCAGCGTCACATGACACCACTTCATTGTATGCAACATGAGGAACCGATCAAGAAAGACGAAGCAGACATGCACAAGTTCAAGAGCGAGGTCAGACAATCATGTATCAGAACAGCAACGTGATCAAGGCTACAGCTGCTGCTGCGAGGACTAACGTCACAAGGGGAATCCGGCGGGAACTGAAGGCCACCGATCCCGACCGATCGCGCGGCACGGACGTCGAAAGCTCCTCCATAGTCAATGGGGGCACTTCACTTGTCCTGGGGCGGCAGCAACACGGACATGCACAACTGATTTCAATTAGTACACACGAAGTATGATCAACGATTCCGCAAAGATATTAATTCCAGTGTAGTGTTCAAACGATCAAATGGATGAGATGATCAACGATTGCTCAGATTAAAAAACTAGAAGGTACAGTTACAACTTAACAGATCTGTGCACTCGGAGTTTGAGAAGACTATATATATAGCATCCGCATCACCAGGACACTCGATACTGTAATTAGTAGGCAGTTACAAGTTAATAGAACAAATGCTGCGAGTAGAAGAATTGAATCAATAATCAGTTTTATCATACAATCAAGTTTGAATTTGTATTCCTATAGCCCTATAGCAGCATATAACAAGAAATGGAGAGAACAACGCAAGTGAAAATAAAAAAAATTCGTTTTGTTGTGGGCAGATGAGCAGGGATCATATGGTGCGAAAGCCGAAATGGCCAAGAGTCTTTGAATGGCATTAGTGGCAGCAGATTCACCGAATTACTAGACAAGCAGAAAAATGTTTACCTGGAGACATTTTAGGCGTGGGAGGTGAGTCAGGTGTGAAATGCATCTCAGGAAGCGACTTGAGCCCTGTTTCAAATGGGGGGAAACAAATAAATGAAAAAATAAAATTGGTACATTCAAAAGAACTGCTCAACTGATCAGTAATCATGACTAACCATAGCAAAAAAGCACAGTAATAATATCCCTAAGAGTAGCATCCAGAGCTCGCTGGTAATCCACATCTACCACCAACCATCACCAATGTAGCTTCACAAGGACTCACAAGAACAAGGATAGGAGCGCATAAACTTATTTTGTAACTTGTTCGGTGATCAAGAACACGCGCATAGGGAGCACAAGAATCGATCGAAGCATATACTCGCCATCAAGAAGGGACAAGTTTCTCCCCCCGGCCCTACTCCCCAACCAACCCACCGAACTAACTCCATATGTTCATCATCATACATTGCGTACCGTGCATTTTTCCTCTTCCTTCCATACTATGCACGAGGCCTTTGGCTACTCAATTTATTTTCTTTTGCTGCTTCTCTATTCTACATAGACCCGGCAATCTCCCTCCGACAAAAGCATACTTTTTGAGTACTCTAAAGAAATATAGCCCATTGGGCCGGCTTTAGGATTATGCTTACTCCTACTGTGGAGAAAACCAGAGGAGTCCGACTACCATTTCTTCGTATGAAGTACGTACTTGTTCTTCACCGTGCAAGCTCTACAGGTTTCGAAATCCGAGGCCTTCAAGTCCAACCGTAGACGTAGAAGCAAACCAGTACTTAAGCATCGAGCAAATGAGAGACGAGTGAGACGCCTTTAGCTCCTAGAATGCCTTCTTCAACTTTGCTATACGCAATTCATGCGCCAAATAGAACTGCTAGACTACGTCGAGTTGTGACCACTCATGCCTCTAAAGAGCGAGGCAAAGGGTAACACTAGGGCGGAGCTCCACCTTTTGTTCTTCCAGCTCGGACTCATAAACTAGAAACTATATAAGAGGCACGAGATGATCAGGTGGGTGCACTAAAGCTCGACATGATGAAAGCTTATGAGAACTTCACTGTTATAGCTGATACAGGATCTAATGACTTATTTCTTAAAATAGGGTTTTGTGACTACCGAAAGTTTCTCTTTTCATGACACAGGGGGGGTCTCTATGGCCCTAGTTTCTTTGGCCCATTTGAAATGAGCTACGAATAGGTCCTACTTCAGACATCCTTCGTTGTCCCTTCAGAGGAGATGAGTGGGATGACGAATGAGTTCTTTAAACATCTCTATCCTGCTGAAGGTACTGAAAGAATGGAGGATGTTCGTTCTGTCGACACTTCCTCGGAAAGTATCTCAGGCAATGAATGAGCAATTGACTGTGCCCTTTACTGGTTCTGAAGTGTGACCTTTTTAAGATGTACCCTGAAAGGCCTCTGGCCCGGACGGCTATCCAGCCCACTTTTTTTCAGCGAAGGTGGGATTTCTATGGTGATGAGGTTAGTGACTTCAGTTACCTTCTCGGTTCTTTTCAATGGGGAGCGTCTTGAGGAATTCAAACCTTCTCAGGGACTACGCCAGGGAGATCCAATCTCTCCATACTTATTCTTGTTAGCAGCAGTTTAGGTATTCGAAATAGCGAAATACATAAATTATCTATCTCAAGTACGTCTCGTACTTATCTTGAGCCATCAGTCGGATTGAATGCAGCGCCCTGCCGGCAGCTCCTGACCTCTGTTCCTATGGGGGAAAGAAGGTGTGGCTTTGGACCCCCAAACTCTTCCATGACGCCCTTCTTCTTATAGCGTGGGTAAGTGATAAATACAGACAAAAATCACACCCATTGGATCCATCCTGATATGATTGGGTGATTTGCACGTTCCCTTAAGAACAAGCACACACACACTAAATCCTGAAAAGAAAGATAGATGCCCATCTTCACACTGATAGTAGTAGGCTCACTACGTACGTTGTCCAACCCACCTCGTAAGACATCTTTCCTCGGATAGCCAAGCAAAAGAGGAGGTCTCAAGCGTGCAAAAACACATGTATGAGCAGGAAAAGATGTGCAATCAAGCTCAGAGACTGCAGATAACGGATCTCTCAGGCACCGGTTTCCCTCAGTTCAGGAAGGGAAGCGAGCTTTCAAGGGTCCAAGGATAAAAAAAGGTAATTAATATGTCTCTGACCGAAGTGATAGATAAAGGCTTTACCCATTGGCAAGGAACGCTTGGAGGAGTGAAACAACAATTCCGCCTAGCGTAGGACACGTATATTTGATCCAATCTAGCAAGCGTAGCCAGCCCCACCCACGGGTGAAATTGTACAGCTCCCTATCTCGTTGAAAGCCCCTTTGCTTACGGAAGAGAAGAGTTGGATACCGTGGTGGGAAAGCTCCCATTTCAACTTTGCTTCTTGTAAGCTTCGGTATAAATAGCTCACTTGCGGGATCTAATCTCATTCTATGGGAACAGCTTTCATTTCTATCTTTTGGCTTAAAGTGGTGAACAAATCCTTTCTCTTCACTTTTTGTGCTCCGCATGGCTCCCGTCAAGATGTGACTCATCCTGTATATACATAATTAGCAGACCTCTCACGAACTTGTTAAAGAAAGGAGTACCATTTGTGTGGACAAGCCAAAGCAATCCTTTGATGTTCTCAAGCAAGCTTTAATTGAGGCCCCTGTGTTGGTTCTCCCTGATTTCAGTAAAAGATTTGTGCTAGAGACAGATGCTTGTGGGCATTGGAGCTGTGATAAGGGGTAGAAGTATTCGTGTGGGTGGGTTTCGAAGGGAAGGTTGCACAATAGATCGGAGATCCTTTGAGGAAGACTGAAATGACTATACTTATAGAATGGTCCATATCAAACAGATACGATACTAGTTTACACAAAGAATATCGCCTAGCTCTAAAACGGCAGCACCCGAGTGCAACTTAGAGTAAGAAAGAACGACCTTCTGCTACCTTTTTATCAGCAATAATTACTACTCCCTCTGTTCCTAAATGTAAGTCTTTTTAGAGATTTCTATGCGGACTACATACGAATGTATATAGACGCACTTTAGAGTGTGGATTCACTCATTTTGCTCCGTATGTAATCCTTAGTGGAATCTCTAGAAAGACTTATATTTAGGAATGGAAGAAGTATATTATATATGAGTGAGGGGGAAAAGGGCACGTAAGAGTTGAAATGTAAAAAAAAATACATGGACGCACTTTATTGGCAATATCCTCCTCGATCCGGCCTTAGAGGTTGATGCCCCCAGTTGAAAGAAAATGGTGTGGAAAATGTAAGGGTTCAAAACTACAAAAAAAAAAGAAGCAATGTGCTAATGTCTAGAACAACCTTCCATGGGTACATTGTTTTCTCTCTTTTTGTGTGGGCACGCGGCCTTGGGGATTTTTCAGCTCTGGCCTCTTTGGGCACTGTCAGCACTCCCGGAGTGCCAACGCGATGAGCGCACACACACACACACGAGAGCAGAGCACTAGGTAGACGAAGAACGCGAGAGTTTTGCGCTGTAAACTTCACAGCTTTTCTGCTTCTATTCCTTGCCTTTTATTCAGAGTACAGAAGGGAAAAACGGGGATCGTGGTCCCCGATTACGCGCCTGCGTGATCCACTAAGCTCGTGCCATCCCACGAACTGATCGACGAGGCGCGAGACTCGCTCCAGGCTGTTGAACCCGCGAGCTAAGCTAGCTAACTGAAAACTGAAGAAAAAACGGGATACTAGCCTGACAGAAAAAACAGAAACAAAACTAACTGAACCGTGACAGGGCTTGGGGCTTTATTTCAACATGCACTAAGGGCCTCTTTTTCTTTCTTTTTTTCTTGGGCTCATCTTTTTCTTCTTTTTTGGCACTAGGGCCTCTTTCCTTTTTTTCTCTTGGGCTCTATCTAACTAAGGCCTCTTTTCTCTATTTTTCTGGGCTGCAAGCCCTCTTTTTTTTTTCTCAGTCTGTTATCCCTGTGGAGGTGATACCATGATAGCCAACGCAGTATATAAACTGGCAGTGCCGTCCCACGACGGGCGATGTGCAGTCTCGCCCGCATGGACCGGCGCGCGTGCGAGGCCCAATCGAGGGGCGCGTGAATGAAATAAAAAGGCACTTATTTACGTACGTAAGGGAAGCCGGTCGAGAGATCGAACGCCCGACCTCCTTTTTACCAACCGTCGTTTCGAAACACATCATTTCTTTCCCCTCTTAAAAGAAACATATCATTTCCGGTTCCGGTTAAACATATCTCCCGTCGCTCTCCGGCGAAATCACACCTCTGCGAACACTCCCAACTGCAGTGCACTCTAGGCCATTGGCAGAGAAACCATCTTCTTCTCATTCTTGTTGGAAGAGAGAAGTCCGCATTCTTGTTGAAACCATCTATACTTGAGTTGTCACAAGCTCAAACTCGCTAAACCCAAAATCACCCCCACCCCTAACCCAGTTAAACTGGCTTTCAGTCCAGTTTTCTTCAAAACAACTCCACATGACATCCAACACAGAAGATGGAGCTGGTTGAAGGATGAAATACCAGGAGCTCGAAGGCGGTGGGAAGAACAGGTCACGTCATGGGGAGTTCAGACGAGCAAGAGAGCTGGAAAAGCACAACCGTGAGCGGCGAGCAGCAGCAGGCCGACGTCACCAAATGCAGGAGCAGTGGCGGCATGGTGTGCGAGGATGAGTGGGAGAGGTGAGGAAGTGCCGCCGCTCACGGCGGGCGGATGTATGAGCACCAGCGGCAGCAAGTTGCCTCTTAACCAGGGCATGGGCTGAAGAGAACCATGGCTGGCAGAGAGAGGGAGAGGAGAAAGAAGAAAGAAGAAAAGAGAACCGAGACCAAAATCGGTCTAAGCAGGTTAGAGGGGAGATTTAGACGGTTAAGCAAGTTCGAGGTTGTGGTTTGGACCACCTGCACTTTAGGCCATTAGCGGAGAAACTGGTGCAAGCTACGAGAATCATCTTCTTCTCATCATAGCAGTACTTCTCATTGTTGTTGAAAAACATCTCTCGAATGATAGATGGACAGAATACCTTTTGCTGGCAAGTACACGAACCCTTCTGGAACATCTCTGGGTCGTTGTTGTAGTTTATCCGAAACCGCTGAAAGAGCAAATCGTTCTTGTCCGTTGATAATGTTCCCTTCAGAGAAAACACTACAGTTACTGAATGTAGATAACAGAAGAATTGAATGGGATATTAGATCATGTCGATGTTGACTTTAGACCTTCAGTATCTCATGAACTTCATCTTCACCTTCACCTTTTCCGGACTTCACTAGTATCCAAAAGCATGTGTTGTACTGGTTTCTGTTGTGGCCTGTGAATAAGTATTCGTCACGGCATACTGCTAAACAAGCAATAAACTTAAAGCATGCGTACTGCTGAAGTTGAACAACTAAATTCAGATATTACATGCCGGTTGACAAGTTCCTAAATACTTTCGATTAGTTCAAGATCTGCTCTTTTAGGAGGAATAACTCACATTCTGCTTGTCTCCATGACAAATAATCACAAAGAATCTTTGGCTTTGGGTAACATAGAACCTCTGCCTCAAACTGTGGTGGCTGCACCAGTTCTTTATTTACTTTCCAGTTCAGCATGTAAAAATAAGTGAAACATGAACATGAAGAAAGGTTTAATCTGCATAAGAAGTTGCATATCTTATCAAAGGCTAGACCAGTTGAAAACACATACCGTAAAAATTCATAAAACTAAATAAGTACCTCTCATCTCTTTGATATAATTTGGTGTTCTCTTGGAACAAAAAGCTGCAACAATAACAAAAAATAAACACATACTGTTTGAACTTAGAAGGGCCCTGTAACAACATATTTTGCTGATAAATGAAGCGACATTTCGATTTGACAATTAGCTTATTAATACTTGCCGAAGTACCAATTTACTCATTTTTCGTTGTTCAGAATACAGAATCAGTCAGTTTGTTGCTTACTTTGCCACTGAATTTACCTTTTCCCATAGCCATCTGGGATAATGATGTGGAAGCTTTCAGGGAGATTTGATCATATGCCCTTATTTTATTTTTGCAGGGGGTCATATGCCCTATTTTAGTTCGCCATAGATCATACGCCCTTGTTTTCTTTGCCATCTTGGTCATCTGCCATGTCTAATTACTTGAATAATTTCAAAATTCTGAGCCTAGTAATGCCACGTGAAATGAAGGTCACACCCCTTGGTAAACTTGCAATTTCTCTAAACACTACATATCTCAACAGAACCAACCAGTCCGACATGTCTGTCCCATTCAACAAAGTGACCACGATCCATTGCGCAGATATTCTACTTCACTAGCTTCAGTAGCAACACTAGAAGAAGAATGACGAAAACAAAGTACACTAAAACCTGAAGCTTTGCATTTTGGGCGGCCAACTTCTCGATACGTCGATCCAGTGCTGCAGTCTCAACCCTAATAGCATCAATTTGAGCTCTTGTAGCATCAATTTGAGCTCTTGTAGCATCATTTTCAGCCCTCATAGCATCAATACGTCGCTGCATTTCTCGTGACACGCGGCGAGCAGACGCATTGCCCATGATGAGCACATTTATCATCCAAATTTCCTCGACCATGTCCAAGTACTTGTCCAGCCACATGAAGAAACGCCAGTATTTCACCTGTCAAAACATACTGAAGTCAGTAAGTTGCTTGAACCAGACATCAGTCATATGATATACGACTTGGCTCTGAACATTAAAGAACAGAGAAGCAACCTTCATATCCTTGCCATTCCTTGGGCATTCCACTGAATATTTGCCCGGATTCAGACATGTCGCTGACTGCTTCACGATTCTCTTCCACATTCTGGACATCCAGTCAGAGGGAGTCCCTTTGTGGGCGTCGGCTGGGAACAGATACGAGTGCAAAGCTAGGGTTAGCGGAGCGAGCCAAGGCTGGAGCGAAATTGAAAGGACAGATGCAATCGGTAGGTAGAATCGGTTACCTAGTCGCCGGAGGTGCGGCACACGTGCTTGCCAGATTCGCCGCCGGGCCCGTGGTGCTGGGGCAATAGCGGCGCCTGTAGTGCCCGAGTAGCCGAGCCTCCTGCGGTTGCTTCCTGGTGGCTGGGGACTCCGCGCCTCCGGAGCCGCTGGAGTCGCCGTGCAACGCCGCCGCCCGCCGGAGTGGCTGCACATCGGTGCTCACGAACAGAGGACGAGACGGGGGATTTTTTTTTTTTGAGGGAGCTGGTTCGGTCGGTCGGTGGATCCGTTTGGGTCGGGCTCCGTATGAAAACAAGACCGACTCTACGTAGCTAAATGCCCATGAGATAAAATATATATGATAAGTATTTTTTATCCTATGAGCACCTTCAAGATGGGTCGGCACAACATCTTAATATTTTATTTTAATTTTTTCGAAAAAACTTTAAATCTATTCATCAACTATCAAGGTAGTATATAAAGCAGATCAGAAATATAAAAAAATGCATTAATGTCCGCAGACCACCTAGCGACGACTACAAACACTGAAACGAGCCGAAGGCACGTCGCCGTCATTGCCCTTCCACACCGGAGTTGGTCAAACCTTGTTGTAGCAAACAGTCGAAAAGTCGTCGTGTTAATGACCTACAGGATTAGCGTACCAGAACAACAACCCGCCACCAATGAAGAGAAGCGTAGATCTAAAGGACCAAATCCCGTGAGATTTGTCGGAGACAAACCTCCATCTATCCTCCGACAATGCAAAAAGCACCGCCGAGACGGGGTCTTGGCGGGGAAAACCTTATTCCATCTTTAAGAAGACCGTTCAACCTGTTGTCAAAACTAAACTTGGCAACCTCATGAGCCACCATGTTAGCGTGCCGATTGATCTTGATGATCTTGAAATTATTCATAAGCTTCATAATGCTTCATGCTTCCTTCTTAAGATCAACAAAAGTGGACCTTTCAAGAAAATCATTTGCAAGAAAGGAGACCACAAAAGAGCTATCAAATTCTACAATAACGGGTTTGTTGAGACTGATACCAACATAAAGCCCAGCAAGGCACGCACGAATCATTGCTTCATCAACGCATGTGCACGACAATAAAATCCCAAGAAGAAAGGATGATTTGGCCCGTATGATCTCTGGCAACAACCCCCACGCTGGCAGCTTTCATGCTCTCCACAAAGCTGGCATCAAACCCATTAACCATTGCGCAAAGGGCGCACCGTCCGCATTGGCAGGAAGCACTGTTTCATCGGGCGAATTGTTATGGGAGCCAATCGGGAGAGAGATCTGTGCCTGGCCAATCGGCTTCATCAGACCAGTTCCTGGTGTAGTGCGTCGTCGGCTGAAAGGCACCGGTTGGTTGTGCGCATGGGGCGTTGGAGGCATCGTGCGCACCCGAGTTGAGTGCGCGAAGGTGGGATCATGTACCTCTGCCTCGTGGCATTGTTTTTTGTCTACTTTGGGCGTCGTCGTCTCTTTCTCCTTCACACACACGTCTCCTCCTCTCTTCCTTTCCCACTCGTGCACGCCACTTCCTCTCATTCTTTCTCCCCTTTGTCTCAGCGCTCCTCAATCTCCCACCGCGACCGCTCGAGAACGACGGCGAGGAGGAGGCCCGACCCTTGGCGCGGACCCGCGCCCCTGAGCAGTGGTGACGTCAGATCTCTCTGCACTAGTAGAAAACGGAGCTTTAATACCGGTTCATAAGGGCCTTTAATACCGGTTCTGCAACCGGCACTAAAGAGTGGAGACTAAAGCCCCCCCTCCCCCCCTTTAGTACCGGTTCGGCACAAACCGCCACTAAAGACCCACCACGTGGCGCGAGCTCGCGCCGTGGTATGGGGGACCTTTAATACCAGTTGGTGTTACCAACCGGTACTAAAGGTATTATTATTTTTGATTTTGAAAAAAAAAATTGATTTTTTTTATTTTCAATTTTCTGAATTATTTGATGATTTAGTCTCTAATTGCCCCTCTTAACTACTCAAGTGTGGATCATTCATTCCAAATCGTCTAACTTTCCGCCCGGTCACCCATCCTCTCACTCCCCCAGTCTGAGCACGCTTAACTTCGGAGTTCTATTCTCCCTACTTTCCAAGTCTGCACTTGTTGTTTTCCTGACAAATGTAAGCTGTAAATCCTATTAACCCTCAGCAGTTTAGTTTGAGCATTAGGTCACAATTTCACCGTTTGAGTTTTAAACTATTACTTAAAAAAACAGTAATTATTTAGTAACACTAATATTTCTGAAATAAGTTTGACCACAGTTTGACCATAGTTTGACCAGATTTGACCAAAATTCAAAAAATTGAAATAATTATTTAGTAATACTAATATTCTTGAATAAGTATGTAGTAACATTAATACTTCTTGAATAAGTAGTTTGACCATAGTTTGACCAGATTTAACCAAAATTAAAAAAACTTAAATCTGAGCATATCTTTTTCTCCTTTTGGTATTTGAGGATTCTAAAAAATTGCAAATAGGCCGTAAGCTGTCAAAATCGGATGCGGATTTTTGTGCTGATTTTTTTTATATTATACGTTTTTTTCCGACGTCGTATGCAAAAGTTATAGCCGTTTTACATTTTCCCTACACTTTTTGCAAAACATGTCCAAATTTAAGTTTTTTAATTTTCCTAACTAGTAGATGTAGTAATATAACTACATCTCGAAGAATTTTATTTTTTGAATTCTTTATCATTTTCTTTTGTATTTTTCAAAACCGAAATGGCGATATACAGGGGGTAGAGATTTAAAATTGCTCTTTAGTACCGGTTTGTGACACGAACCGGTAGTATAGGTCAAAACCCTTTAGTACCGGTTCGTGGCACGAACCGGTACTAAAGGTTAGCCCTTTAGTACCGGTTTGTGCCACGAACCGGTACTAAAGGTGATCGCGGGGCCCCGGCCTAACGCCAGCCTGCCACCACCCCTTTAGTACCGGTTCGTGGCACGAACCAGTACTAAAGGTTCAAAACGAACCGGCATTAATGCATAGCCGTTCGAACCGTCACTAATGGTACCATTAGTACCAGACCAAAATCGAACCGGCACTAATGTGTCTCACATTAGGTCCTTTTTCTACTAGTGCTGTCTCGCGAGGCCGGCCATCCCGTCTGTGTTGCGACGCCGCCGGTATGAAGGCCGGGCTCCGGCAGCCAACGCGGTGTCATGTGCGCCCGCGGGGGCTCTGGGGACCGCGTGCGGGGGACTGCGCAACGTCCAGTCGTGGGTTCTGCTAATGCCAAGCCGTAGATCTGAGCTGCTGTCTCCACTTCCTCCTTCCTGACTTCAAAGTATGATCAGCTAGGTCATTTCTTCTCATCAGACGCACCACCAGTTTGTCTTGGTTGCTAAAATCAATCAATGCCTCCAAGGTATGGAGGGGACGGGGCCTTCCCAATTATGGGTATTCAGATCTGCCCTACTCATGGCAGCATAATGTATGGTGTCATAGGTTACCAATTATTGTTGTGAGATGAGCCAACTTGTAGATTTTTCAAAAGGGATCCTGAATTCTCTGACTACAAGTTCAGAAAGACAACAAGATAACACATGGACAACTTGATTCAGTGGTTTGTAAGTTGCTGCATGATGCTAACTTGGGAAATCTCTCTATTGGCTATGAAAGCATCCATTTGCATATTGCAG